CTGACACAGAGCAGAATAGGGACTGTTCCTCCTACATAGGGTCACTTGGTAGATATGGATTGACACCTGTCCTCAGAGACCATGATACACACTGACACAGAGCAGAATAGAGACTGTTCCCCCTACATAGGGTCACTTGGCAGATATGGATTGACACCTATCCTAAGGATCCCTGATAAACACTGACACAGAGCAGAATAGGGACTGTTCCCCATACATAGGGTCACTTGGCAGATATGGATTGACACCTGTCCTCAGAGACCATGATACACACTGACACAGAGCAGAATAGAGACTGTTCTCCTACATAGGGTCACTTGGCAGATATGGATTGACACCTGTCCTCAGAGATCATGATACACACTGACACAGAGCAGAATAGAGACTGGTTCCCCTACATAGGGTCACTTGGCAGATATGGATTGACACCTGTCCTTAGAGACCCTGATACACACTGACACAGAGCAGAATAGAGACTGTTCCTCCTACATAGGGTCACTTGGCAGATATGGATTGACACCTGTCCTCAGAGACCATGATACACACTGACACAGAGCAGAATAGGGACTGTTCCTCCTACATGGGGTCACTTGGCAGATATGGCGTGGTCGTGGGAGGAGGAGGATGACTTTCATCTCTTCCCCTGTTAGATTCCCGTTGTGCTGTGACATCACCCTTACACTGTGTAAAGCATACTTTTTAATTTATTTTGCAAATGCTGCATCCTTTCCGACTTGTAATTCGGTAACATTTCTGCCACTGTCTGCTTATACTGGGGGTCTAGAGGCGTGGACACCCAGCACAGGTCGTTCTCCTTCAGCCTTTTTATACAAGGGTCCCTCAGCAGGCACGACAGCATGAAAGACCCCATTTGCACAAGATTGGATGCCGAGCTACTCATTTCCCGTTCCTCCTCCTCACACAGAGCAGAATAGGGACTGTTCCCCCTACATAGGGTCACTTGGCAGATATGGATTGACACCTGTCCTAAGGGTCCCTGATACACACTGACTCAGAGCAGAATAGGGACTGTTCCTCCTACATAGGGTCACTTGGCAGATATGGATTGACACCTGTCCTCAGAGACCATGATACACACTGACACAGAGTAGAATAGAGACTGTTCCCCCTACATAGGGTCACTTGGCAGATATGGATTGACACTGTCCACAAGGACAAGCTGCAGGCTTCCTGGCAGGGCCCATACAAGGTGGTAGAGCAGGTTTGTGATACCACCTTTGTGATCGGTGCGGTCACAGGCATGGGAGGCAAGCGCATGCTTCATGTGAACATGCTCAAGCCATACCATGAGTGCACGGAAGAGGTAACCGCGATCTGTGCACCTGCCACTGAAGATTATGATAATTTGCCACTCCCAGATCTCCTAGACCTAGAGGGCCAGAGCGGAGACCTGGGAGAAGTACAGTTAGGAGAACGGTTAGACCCAGGTCCAAAGACTAATCCAGGACAAGGGGGCCACGTTTTCCAACCTACCTGGGTACAGTCCGTTAACCACTCACAAAGTTGAAACCCTAGACCAGACCCCTCTTCGCCAAACCGCCTATCGCATACCCGAAGAAAGAATATATTCAGAAAGAAATTGAGGAAATTATGCAGTTAGGGTTATAGAACACTCTGACAGCCCCTGGGCCTCCCCGGTAGTACTAGTACCGAAACGGGACGGCACGACCCGTTTCTGTGTAGACTACCGGAGGCTAAGCGATAAAACAACCTCAGACGCCTCGTCTATGCCTCGGATAGACGAGCTCCTAGACAAAATGGCCAGAGGCCAGTACCTCACCACAATAGATCTGTGCAAGGGGTACTGGCAAATTCAATTAGCCAAGGACGCCATCCACAAGTCGGCATTTGTCACCTCGTTTGGCCTGTATCAGTTTAAGGCCATGCCATTTGGGATGAAGAATGCCCCGGCTAACTTTCAGAGGATGGTAGATCGGCTACTGGATGGGTTTCAGGAGTATGCCTGTGCCTACTTGGATGATATAGCCATTTTTAGCTGCTCCTGGCCCGAACACCTGACCCACATAGGAGCCATACTAGACCGGATTAGGGAGGCCGGACTGACCCTAAAGCCCAGTAAGTGCCATATAGGAACACGTAAAAACCTCCCCAAGATAGTAGTATGGGCCCCAGAGTGTGAACAGGCCTTCCAACAGCTCAAGACGGCGCTCATTAAATCACCTGTACTTTCTGCTCCTGATCCAACTAAACGCTTTCTCGTCCATACAGACGCTTCTATGTTTGGATTGGGAGCAGTACTGAGCCAAGTCGGAGCAGATGGCGGCGAGCAACCCGGGGCTTATCTAAGCCGGAAACTTTTGCCCAGGGAAGTAGATACACTGCCATTGAAAAGGAGTGCCTGGCGGTGGTGTGGGCCCTCAAAAAGCTGCAACCTTACTTGTATGGACAACCGTTTACCTTACTCACAGATCACAACAAATTTGGGGCACTGCGAGTGCAATCTAATGTGCCACCAGATAGGAGTGGTGTGTTAAGTAGTACTATTCTTATCAGTTTAATCCCTGTTATGTCCCCTATCCGTTGATGTGGAGCAAGACGCAGCAGCAGAAGAGGACTCAGCCGAGGAGGTTATGGAAGAGGATGGAGTAGGAGGAGTAGAGGAGGTGGCAGCAGGCCTGCCTGCAAGTCATGGCGGTGTCACCAACTCCTCTGCAGAGCCACGCATTCCATGCTTGGCAGCCGTCAGCAGGTTTTCCCAATGCGCAGGGTAGGTGATATACCTGCCCTGACCATGCTTTGCAGACCAGGTATCAGTTGTCAGATGGACCCTTGCCCCAACACTGTGTGCCAGACATGCCATTATTTCCTTTTGCACAATCGAGTAGAGGTTGGGGATTGCCTTTTGTGAAAAGAAATTTCGTCCGGGTACCAGTGAGGGAGTGGTGGCACTGGGCACAGGATCCACTGTGAGCCTGACACACCCACTGGCAGACAACTAACTGCTATTCAATCTATAACAGTGAAAAAAGTTTTTTGTTTTTAAATGCAAGCTATTATGACACCAGATATGAGTGGCACTGTAAACTGGCAGAGTACACGCTGTAGGGCTGACACACCCGCTTTGAGACAACTAACTGCTATTCAATCTATAACAGTGAAAAAAGTTTTTTGTTTTTAAATGCAAGCTATTGTGACACCAGATATGAGTGGCATGTGGCTGGCAGAGTACACTGTGTAGGCCTGACACACCCGCTTGAAGACAACTAACTGCTATTCAATCTATAACAGTGAAAAAAGTTTTTTGTTTTTAAATGCAAGCTATTGTGACACCAGATATGAGTGGCACTGTGAACTGGCAGAGTACACGCTGTAGGGCTGACACACCCGCTTTGAGACAACTAACTGCTATTCAATCTATAACAGTGAAAAAAGATTTTTGTTTTTAAATGCACGCTATTGTGACACCAGATATGAGTGGTGTAAACTGGCAGAGTACACGCTGTAGGGCTGACACACCCGCTTTGAGAAAACTAACTGCTATTCAATCTATAACAGTGAAAAAAGTTTTTTGTTTTTAAATGCAAGCTATTGTGACACCAGTGAGTGAGTGGTGGTGTAGTAGATGATTTACTGCAAACCAATTAGTTTGAATGACTATCTGTTCCTGTCCAAATTAAAGATAATAAAGTTTTTAGCGCCATTTTGTTAACATGAGGAGCTCACTCGACGGGAGGTGCCTTTTGGCAGCTATCCATTTAGAGTGTAGCCTGGCACTGTTAGTTTCTCAAGGTTAGGTTTCAAGGCTTTTAGTAAATACACATTTTATCAAAGCTATTTCTTGCTGACATGCAAATTCTATGTTCTATAGACAAAGCTTTCTTGTAAAACTATGGGGCCTCTTAGAGGTATAGCAAGAGGATTTAAAGGGGCCTTACAGATTTATAGAGGCCTAATAATTCTACAACAGTCCCCCCTTAAAATGTTATTTGCTAAAAGACAAAACTTTATTTGTTAGTATCAGAAGATGTGTTAGCCCAAAGACACAGAAACCCCATGACCGCTGACTTAGTGTTAATGCAAAGTGCAAGTCTATCCCTCTCTTGACCCTAACAGGCTGCAGCACATCCATCAGTATGGTTCAGGAACACTCTTCACTCCGCTGGTAACCCATAGTGGCTTATCCACTACTTCTCCGTACGGCAGTCTACCCATAAAGACGGACGCTGTCCCTGTACTGTCCCTTCCTGGACTTTCTACACTTCATCAGCATACGGGAGAGTTTGTAGCGGAATACAGGGTGATGTGAGGTCTTGGCCACCAATCTCTAGATGGGCGAAGGTTGGTGTTGCTTGGTCTACAGTTTTCTGCAGGAATTTCCTTAGGCATGGGAGGACACAACAAATGAGAAGAGCAAGAATAAAAAGAAAAATTAGTAAGGCAATACCAATCTGGAAGCTCTCTGCCAACCAGTCATCCAACCAAACCATTTTTCCCAGGGATCAGTAACTCCAGAGTTTCTCTTTAACTCTTCTGAGAGTCTATTTAATTTATCTATGGCCAGAGTGACTTTACCATTAGGACCTGTGTTTTCTGGAATGTAAGTGCAACAAGTCATGGTGTCAGGTAGTATTTTACATACACCCCCCTTTTCAGCTAGAATCATGTCTAAGGCCATTCTGTTCTGGAAGGTCATCTGGGATGTGGCCTGCAACTGCTCGGCCAGGCCCTGGAGGGCATCCCTGGTGTAGTTGACAAAACGCTGTTGGTTGTAATAAATGTAGTTAATCCAATTAAGGTTTTTGTTGGCAGTGACTATGGTAAAAAGTGATTTAAAACCTACAGCTACTTCATCTCTAGCTTTAAATTCATTAGGCACCCCCCTGGGCACCCCAATGGCATCTATGTAAATGTGTGGGTCAAAACTGCCTTTTACTGGGGTTTCACGCTTAATCCTGGCTAACGTCTGTGGGGAATCGTGGGTGCCGGGATGATTGTCAGAAATAATGTGGATGGGCATGATAACCTTGGCCAAGGTACACTCCCCCCACCAGTCAGTCTCCAGTCTGGATCTTAACTGCAAGTCCCCACATAGCCAGTAAATGTCTCCTAGTGACCTGGTGCGATGTTGTAACAGACGTATGGGGACAGTTCTGTAAGTGGCACAATAACCTTTAGAAAAATTACCCATGAATTTACCAATCCCGTCATACATGGCATAACAAGTGTAATTACCTCTATAGACTGTGATTCCATCTGGTGGCTTAACATTTTCAACTAAGAGAGGGTATTCTGCCGTCCATGCCATGCAGAGGGATCTGTTGAAATTATAGCGGTAGGCAAAAAGACTAAGGAAGCAAGTCTCTATCTCCAAAGGGAGAGTTAGAGGAATGGTGCCAAGATGAGGTCGAGCACCACCGCACACATAGCATGCGGTTATGTTATGTTTATTAGCATTATATTTCATCCACTCTAACCACAAATTAATGTCATTGAATCCAGTTTCAGCGGCCATGGTATCTTCAAAAGTGGGGTTAGCGATGGCCATCATATCTTTAAAGGACTGGATATGTGGTTTTAGCGGATTTGGGACCATATGATCAGCCCCTTGCCACTCTGGAGAGTGGTACATATCTCTGAGGTAGAAATGACCTAATTTGTTGTAGGAACCTTTCTTCCAATACATTCCCATTACATATCGGTCTGCATCCTCGGGGCCAGGATGTTCAATATTTAACATTAATTTCATAGGGGTACTTCCTCCAGGCTTTCTTAAAGTCATTCTTTGAAGGAGGGATCTACCCTGATTGTCTGTCTTAGATAAAGCACTTTTGGGTTTATAACCCCAGGCAGGCCCAGTATTCCATCCCGCAGCCCCCCAGTAGTTACAGTCATAACCCCATTGTTCATCTACTACACAAACGTAAGGGTCTTTTGCTTGTGGTATATCTTTATAAATGGCTTGAATCTGTGACTTAGGGAATGGGCATTCTACAATATCACAGTAATCAAAAGTGAATGTAGCCACGTGGGTACATGATGAATTATACCAGAAAGTGTACCCACTAGCATCCTTGGTGATGGCCACCTGCTGGGCTTTAAGGAATCCAACTAAGGAGATAATGTACCAGAGGCACATGGTTGCATAGAGTTAGCTTCCTCTGGGGCAGGTGTCTTCTTGCAATGGGAAGCGTGGATCCAGTTAGGCCTTCCGGCCAATTTGACAGAGGTAGGGGAGGTCAGGAGAACTTGGAACGGTCCGTCAAATCTTGGTTCCAGGGTGTGTTTTCACACAAATTTCTTGACCAGAACCCAGTCACCGGGGAGCAAACTGTGGTTGCCTGTGTCAGAATCAGGATCTGGAATTGAAGAGAAAATTTGGGCATGGATTTTGTTCAAAGCATTGGCAAGTTCAGTTACATAGTTTACTAAAACATCAGTATGAAGTTGTAATTGCTGGGGAAAATAGCAACCTAGCCTGGGTGCTGACCCGAATAGAATCTCGTAAGGGGACAATGAGGGCTTCCCTCTGGGTGTATGTCTGACACTAAACAGGGCTATTGGCAAGCTTTCGGGCCAGGGCATTTTTGTTTCTGTTCATAATATGTAGAGTGTAAGGAAAACAACATGTCTCTAAATAGGACGAGCATAATAGGGGTAGGCCTCATGATGGAGGCAGCCATGACAGGGGCGGGGAAGGAAATGACAGCAAGGGAGGAAGTGAGGTGACGTCCATGATAGGTGTGGGAAAGGAAGACAGGAGGTGTGGGCATGGTAAGGGCGGAAGTGACGTCACTTTAGAAGCAACCGTGACTGTAGATAGGTCACGGGACTGGCAGGGTCAACCTCCTTCTGTACTAGGCGCCATCTTTAGGGTGGTGGCTGATGCACTTTCAACAATACACTATATTATAACTATTAAAATAAGTCAGAGAAGCAACATTCTGTTCTGCAAAATGAAATACTAAACTATGAACAGACCTGGCAGGTTAAATAAGACAGTTGAGAACATTATGCATTTAACAGCCCATACAGCTGTTTCTAGAAACATGTACTTCAACATAAAGGAAAATAAACTCACGGAATTCAACCAAATTCCCTTATCTTCCTCCAACCATTAATCATTTTCCTCTTCACATACTAGCTTAACAACTTCGCATATTCCCTCTATCCACATTGCATAGTTGTGCAACAAATCACGCTTGCCTATACACTTAACACGTCCAAATATTCCTCTATTCTTGTATCAGATTCACTTACCTAACCTCCGTAAATCAACACTGAGCTACATCCCTGACTCCCTGTCTTATACACCAGTCTTGGAGAGAATACTCAGAAAGGTGGAATGCATTCTTGTGAGCGAGCCCCCCCACAATCTTCACTGCCTTATCACAAAACACAATTTATATATAGATATAAACGGCAAACGGCAACAATAATAATATTATTACACAATTATAACACCATAACCTTTGAATTAGAATATTTTCCAGCAAAAATCCCGTCTCTAACTCTTATCAGTAGCTCCGAAATGTAGGCAAGCGGGGAGGAGGGGGGGGGGGAGAATGTGAGACAGTGCAAAAAGGGAGAGAGACTGCAGGCATGAAGATTAACCATGTGAGTGCTGTAAAGTAACAAGACAGAAGGACAGAGACTTATACGTTTGGAAACCAGAAATCTTTGACGGGAGAAACGGACTGGAGGTGCAGGGAGCTGCAGAGAGAGGATGAGGGTGATGAGATCTGTAGGACTGATGGGGGGGGAGAATAGGGATCCATCAGCATTCAGGACTGGGCAAACAGGGGTGGTGGTAGGGTGGGGACCAGGGGTGGGGACCATGGTCAGCTACATTTCGGTCATTGCTGACGCGATGTTGGGAGTGGTCACCTCCTGGGCGCCATCATAGGGCGCTGGCTGGGAGGACTTCCCAGTAACACAATTATTATAATACACAAACAATCTTAAACCTTTGTGATCAATTTCTTCCTCAACCTATCCCTTTTGCTGAATAGCTCTTGCTACTCGGTACCAGGCTTCTGCTGTACAAACCAAATCTTGGTCCGACAGCTTCCCTTTCTTCTCTGTCAGTAACTTACGCCAGCTCTCTGGCTACAATCTGCCGCACAGAGGTACGGTAATTCCACATACTTTAGCAATCTTCCTCACTTTCTTAACCATCTCTTCTCCTTCTCTGTTTTCCACGAGATCACATGCTAACCAACCCTTACTGGGTTTATCTAACTTCTGTCCCATCCTCCCTATATAAGGCGTCCCAGATATAGAGAAAGAGAGAAAAGAAGGTCTACAGTGCTCGACTGCTACGTAAGAGTGGGTTCCTACGTACGTCTTCCCAAAACGTAGACTAGTCACTAATTCCGCCTACCCGAGGTAGCCGCGGAATTGGAGCGTGGCGAGAAGTGTGTGACCAATCACTTCTCTCAACAAAGAGAAATAAGAGGGGAAAGTGTAAATAACACAGAGAGTAAGATAAGATCAAGCACAGGAATCTGTGTGACAGACAATTAAGACAACATTTCAAATAAAATACAGTGCATGCATCACAGTTCAAATAAGTTCAACAGTTTTATCCCTTGCCTTTACTCGCGTGGCCCAAAGCCACCTCCCTCAACCTCGTAGTGTCCCTGTTGCGGACCCACCCGCAAGTCTCACTACCAGCAGCCACAGGAAACAGCAACAGCTTCCAACCCGAATCCTGTATAGCCTAAAGAATTGGAATCTTACCTGCCTCAGCGCTCGAGGCTGGAATTTTACCAAGAAGAAGTGTCCGATGAGGCTAGCTAAGCAGTCAAAGCGACACTATGGGGAACCCCCAAGAAGCAGTGAGTCTACACCACCCTCCACAGATTCCCCCTACTCTTTTTCCTTACAGCCACAGCTACGTGGCTCCTAAAAGAGTTAAACAGGCAATAGAGGACCCCCAGGAAAACTTCCACAGGTCCACCCCCCTTTTTCCTTACTACCACAGCCACGTGGGTGGTACCTAAAAGGAGTTAAACAGGCACTCACACTCCCCGGGTACTAAGTTAAACACAAACCAATACAAACACACCCAGGCAACAGATAGTCAACATGCAGGTAAATTAAGTATCATTAACAATACAAAGACTCTGGACAAGTTATTACCTGACTTTGATGTCCTCTCGGCAGCAGTCACAGACACTGGGACAGGTCAATCACAGGGGTAGGAACATACCGGCTAGGTGCTGCAGCAGTCTCTACCGTGTATTCAGAGGTGATCAGGCTCTTTTCCTTCCCCCAGGATTCATCCCCCCAGCATCTTCTTGGACAGCTGCCCAGGCAGGACATAACCCAGAGCCCCACGTTGGGCACCAGCTGTAGTAGATGATTTACTGCAAACCAATTAGTTTGAATGACTATCTGTTCCTGTCCAAATTAAAGATTATAAAGTTGCGTGCACGCAGAAGTAAATTCACACTGAGACACAGAGTTCAGGTTAATGAAAGAACTTCGGAGAAGTTTAATGGCTTCTGAATAAAAAGCAGGCTCGCAGGCCCTTTTAAAGGCATTATTACATCATTGAAGAAAATCAAGATATAGACAAATAGACATTGTTAATTGGCTTAGGTGCTAAGTAGTTAGTAAAATGCCCTCCCTACGGGGTGTGCCATCTTAGGTCACTATCCTCGTCATGATTGTCTCCTCCAGGTTTTTAGCGCCATTTTGTTAACATGAGGAGCTCACTCGACGGGAGGGGCCTTTTGGCAGCTATCCATTTAAAGTGTAGCCTGGCACTGTTAGTTTCTCAAGGTTAGGTTTCAAGGCTTTTAGTAAATACACATTTTATCAAAGCTATTTCTTGCTGACATGCAAATTCTATGTTCTATAGACAAAGCTTTCTTGTAAAACTATGGGGCCTCTTAGAGGTATAGCAAGAGGATTTAAAGGGGCCTTACAGATTTATAGAGGCCTAATAATTCTACAACAGTGGCACTGGGCACAGTATCCACTGTGTGCCTGACACACCCGCTTTAAGGACACTGACTGCTATTCAATCTATAACAGTGAAAAAAGTTTTTTGTTTTTAAATGCAAGCTATTGTGACACCAGTGAGTGAGTGGCACTGGGCACAGTATCCACTGTGAGCCTGACACACCCGCTTTAATGACACAGACTGCTATTCAATCTATAACAGTGAAAAAAGTTTTTTTTTTTTAAATGCAAGCTATTGTGACACTAGTGAGTGAGTGGTGGCA